CCTCAAGTTGTAAGTGGGGGAAATGAGATTCAGAGAGTGTAAGTAATTTGCCCAAAGACTTGTGCCATTTAAGAGATGGAAACAGGTCTTAAATTCAAGTTCTCTGACACAAACCAGAGTAGGATTCTGAGATTTTTCTTTTTAATGATTGAGGTTCCCCCTCTCCAACCTCGCACCCCCCAAATAAAGGAAACCAAGTAGATACTGTTACAGTTAATGATGGCTAGTCCTATTCTCATCTTTTTTCTTAGTTCTTATCACCATCTGGAATGTTGGCCTTGGACAAGGATGAGGCTCCTATTTCAGTATGAAAATCTCGCTGGAATTCTATGAGAAGCCTTGTTGGTGTCTAATGGTGGTAGAACCTGAGTTTCCCTCACCGCCTTGCCCAGCCATAAATCTGCTTTTGTGCAGTGTCCCCACGCCTCCGTTGTGCTTGCTGTCCCCGTTCAGCCCCGGTCCTCCTCACAGAACCATCTGGCCCCTGGGGGGTTGCTTCTTATTCCCTTTGAGTCGCTCCTTCTGAGCAGCCGGCCTGGGGCCAGAGACAAAGCAGTCTTTCCTCTGCTGTAAACTCTACACTACAAGGAAATGGAGACTTTGGGAATCTAACGCATCAGTTCAAGCCTGAGCTCGAGGCAAATGAAGAAAAGGTAAATCTTGCATTTCCCCTTGAAAGATATTTTGCTGTGGAATTCAGTAGGTCCCAGTGGTTGTTGGGATTGTGGTGACATATTTGTGGATTCCTTCACATTGTTGGACATTTCTGGGGGTGGTCATTGATCACAGTTTTTTTTTTTTTTAATATTTATTTATTTGACAGAGAGATAGCGAGAGTAGGAACACAAGCTGGGGGAGTGGGAGAGGGAGAAGCAGGCTTCCCGTGGAGCAAGGAGCCCGATGCAGGGCCCGATCCCAGGACCCTGGGATCACGACCTGAGCTGAAGGCAGACGCTTAATGACTGAGCCACCCAGGCGCCCCCATTGATCACAGTTTTAACAAGAACAAACATCATTCTTATTTGTGATTTTAGCTTAAAAAGCTACATAGCACATTTAGATAATTGGGAATTGGAAGGGAATGCAAAAAACAAAAGAGAAGGACTTTTTTTTTTTCTTTTAGGTTCATGAGATTGTGGTCCATTTTTAAAAATTGATATTTTATTATCCAATAAATAAAAGAATTATTATAAAAAAGTGTTTATGCAACATGCAGTATTTGTTCAGTCCATACAATCTTTGCAGTGTATCCTTTATCCAGAATGACTTCACTAAATTCTCTGTCAGCTGTGGGTCTGGATGCATATTTGCATACCTTAGTAACATCAGTTGTAGGTTAGCATACCTAATATGTGTTACTACATGGTAGCATTCCTGTTACGGATTATTACAGGTTAGTGTACCTAATATGTATTTTTTTCTACTTAAAGACACTGGGGGCTTTGAACGATGTCTTCTCTTTTTAAAAAAAGTTCACAGGGAATCTGTTGTTTCAGTATTTTCAGCCCCCTCTCTATCAACAAAAAAGTTTTTAACTACCATAAAATTCCCTTAGTAAAGGAGTCAGGGGTGCTGAACACTTGGCCTATTTATTCTCTTTTTTTCCAGACAAAAATCATAGCTGAAGCCTGACTGATAATATCTGTTCAGTTTTGCCATACTCTTCAGGGATAATTGTTTCCCTCAGAGATTACCCTTCCTGTCAATAAATGCCTCATAAATATTGAATAAACTCTTCTCGTTCTAGTTTAAGGCTGGTTTTCTCCTGCTGGGATTGGCTGGAGATGTTGAACGGCTGGTAGGCATTCCCATAGGCAACAGTGCACATTGCTCTCCGCCTCTGTCATCCCGTCTGCTTTTCCCTGAGGAGTGTTGTGTTCATGATCGAAACATGTCCTCGTGGGCATATATGTCGGTCTTTTGGCCAGACCCAGTTGGGAATGATTCCTGCTCTCAGTCTGTGGTCGAGTCAACCTTCTACTGTGCGAAGTTGGTTCATTTAGTTCAACAGGTGTGTACTGAATGAGCCCCAAATTTGCAGGCCTTGGGTGGACAGTGTCTGGAAAGGGACAGGGTCCAGGGCTATGTTTTTGAAATATAACATGACATGAAAGTTAAGCTACTTGATTTCAAAAGTAGTAAGAAGAGTTGAGGTTATAATCTGCTGCTGGGGACTGAGCTTCACCCTGGAGCCATTCTGTGGCTTTGATTCCTGGTCTTTGTGCGTCCTTGAGCAGTTGGCAAAGGGGGCCTCTCAGTGGTCTTGCCAGTGCCAGTGATGTTGGGAGAGCTTGGCGTGAGCGCCGTGTGTGCTGGTCTTCGGGCATGTGGCCTTCAGGTCACAAGGGCCTGACAGAGTAGGCGGCTGTGGGTGAGTGACCGTGGAGCCTTTCACCTTTGGGGTCATCACCGGGCCTTGGTCTTGAGCAAAGTAAACAAGCACAGAGAGAGGCTCCTTGCTATCTGTTCATGGGAGAGGTCTCCCTGGCAGCCGCCAGGAGCGACTCTGGCCACTTCGAGTTCAAGATGTAGTGGAGAAAATACAACTCAGATTTTGAGCTTTTATTTTTAATTTTTTTTTTTATAGATTTCATTTATTAGAGAGTGAGAGAGAGCGCACACAGGCAGGCAGGGGGACAGGCAGAGGGAGAAGCAGGCTCCCCACTGAGCAGGCAACCCGATGCATGGCTCAATCCCAGAACTCCAGGATCATGACCTGAGCCGAAGGCAGACCCTTAACCAACTGAGCCACCCAGGCGCCCCAGATTTTGAACTTTTAAAAGGTGGGGTTCTTGGGGCACCTGAGTGGCTCAGTTGGTTATGTGTCTGACTCTTGATTTTGGCTCAGGTCATGATCTCATGGTCGTTAGATTGAGCCCCGTGTCGGGCTCTGCCCTGAGCGTGGAGCCTGCTTAGGATTTTCTCTCTCTTTCTCCCTTTGCCCCTCCCCCTTTCTAAGAAAAAAAGGTGGGGTTCTTGTGATCCAGTTCCGGGGTCAGAGTGGTCACGGGGGCCATGTTTCAGCGACATCTCACCCAGTGGCTATTCCCTCTTTTAGATATGTGTGTGAGCGCCCACCGAACGAGAAGTGGTCGGTAGCGTAGAAGGTGCCGTTTCAGGCCCCGTGAGTGAGATGCTCGTAGAGCCTCCTGCTACTGCCAAAGTGAAAGATCACTTTGACATCCCCCCTCTCCGCCCCCCAATTTAAAATATACATGTGAGAGTAGACAGTAGTCTCAGGCAAACTTGTGTCTTTGGCCTTATTGGAGAAACTTAGGGCTGGTGCTTCATTAAATAACCCTCCAGAGAAGCCGTACAGATGGCCAGCAAGCACATGAAAGGATGGTCAGCAGCACTGGTCGCTAGAGAAAGTGCACACTGGAGCTGCAGGAGGGGTCCCGTCTTGCGTGTCGACGGCTGCCGTCAAACACCCAGACGACGACGTGTGCTGGTAAGAGTGTGGAGAAACAGGAATCCTGCACACCGTTGGTGGTGATGGTAGAGTGATGCAGCTACTACGGAAAACAGCGTGCTGGTTCATAAAAAATTAAACACAGAGGGGCGCCTGGGTGGCTCAGTCGTTAAGCGTCTGCCTTCGGCTCAGGTCATGATCTCAGGGTCCTGGGATCGAGCCCCGCATCGGGCTCCCCGCTCCGCGGGAAGCCTGCTTCTCCTTCTCCCCCTCCCCCTGCCTGTGTTCCCTCTCTCACTGTGTCTCTCTCTGTCAAATAATAAATAAATAAAATCTTTAAAAAAAAAAAAAAAATTAAACACAGAATTACCGTAGGAGCCAGCAGTTCCGGTCCTGGGTGTATACCCCAAAGGACTGAAAGCGGGGTCTCAGAAGTCTGTGTACCCCTGTTCATAGCAGCAGCATTCACAGGGTCCAGCAGGTGGAAAGCAATCTGGGGGTGCACTGGTGGGTAAGTAGATGCACGAAATGGGGTGTATACATGCAATGCAATATGCCTCAGCTTTGAAAAGGAAGGAAATTCTGACATAAGCTACAACATGGGTGAGCTCTGAAGTCATTCTGCTGAGGGAAGTACGTCCGTCACAAAAAGACCAGTGCTGTGTGATTCTAGTTACATGAGCTACCTCGAGTATCAAATTCATGGAGACAGAGAATAGAATGGTGGGTGCCGGGGCTCTGGGGAGGGGGGTGGGAAGATTTAGTTTTGTGAGGTAAGAGTTCTGAAGATCGGCTGCAGAACCATACGAATGGACTTAACTACAAACTGTGCACTATAAAGCAGTGAAGATGGTCAGTTTTACGCGATGTGTATTTTAACACAAATAATTTTTTCTTTTGAATGGGAAAAAAAAGTCACAATTGAACGCCCACTGCTCCGCGCTCTCGGTCTGCAGGGAACATTGAGGCTTTGTGTTCGGGAGTGAACACCGCCAGATGGCAGCACCCCCAGCCTGTCATCCCACCCTCCAAGGTGGGTCTCCTGCTCCTGCCTCTTGTGCAGAAAAGCCCAAACATATGCAGGAGAGGAACTTTTAATCTCCTTTAGGGGGCCAACCTCTACAAGGGAAGTTACTTTGTCCAAGGACTGTTTCACTGCGATTCTACATTTTGTTTTTACTGCTGAGTCAGATAGAGAACAATGCACGGTTGTCCTGTCAGGATGATGCTCCTGCCGTCCCATCAGCGTGCAGAGTCTGCAAGTTGTTTTCCTACTGGTGGTGACAGATGAGCTGTGACTCATGCCAGCCCCGTCACCTGCCCTCCCCTGAAACAAAGACACGCATTTGCCTACAGAGCGTGTGTTGAGTTAATGGCCTTTACAAGATTGGATGGGCAGTTCTAGCTTCCTTTATATCTTCCAACACCTCTGATGAATCAAGCAGTTCACAGACATTTCATTTATTATCCTGACACTGATTCTGGTCACTGGTGGTTTCTTCATATCGTTTACACGAAACCTTTGTTTTTACCTTTTGGGAGCTTGGTGTAAAATGCTTGACAGTTTTCTGGTATTTCTGTTTTTCAGGATCATTTCATGGACTCACTTGCCATACTTGTTAACCATGCTGCCTTGTTCTAGGACCCCGTAAAGCCTACTGACTGTTAATCTTCCTCGGAGCACAGACTAGAACTTCAGGTAACTCCAGCTCACATGAGTTGTGGTTCACTTCAAGGGGCACGACTGTGATCAAGGTAATAAGTTTGTTCGATCTGGTTATTTTTGTTCTAAAATGTGTTTGCTAACTCCCACCAAAGAAAAGTCAATCCATTTGACTTTTGTTCCGTGGCTGTACATTCTTAGGTGTAAAAGAAGTAAAATTAAAAACCTACTAAATATATTTTGAAGTGGAACTGGAAACGTGACCTCCAGCTTGCCTCAAATAGTGATCTACTGGTTAGAGTGAAAAACAGAGGGGGAAGGTTTGGCTCAAATTTCGACTTGCGTGTTTGGCTTAACTAACAGACTCATTGGACACATTGGGATTTTACAGAGAATGAATAGAATCGAAAGTTTTTTCAGACATCCACATTCTGATAAGTCAGCTTCCAACTTTATTCCTCATCATGTTCCAAAATGAGGACCCTCAAAGGCTTTAGAGAAGCACTAGAGATTAGTTTTATTAAAATGTTTTTCTGCCCCAAATGAGAGCTTTTATTCTCTACCCTCCCCTGTTTTTATCTCAACCTAGTTTTGGGGGACTCCTTTTGTGGTGTTCCTACTCTGTGTGATATATCAAAGCCCCAACAGAGTGTGGTACCTGAACTCATGTTATTAAACATGGGCAGCAGTCTCTTCTATTGGGGTGTGGTATTTGCTCTTCTAGTAGTTTGTGTATAATGGAAATCACTCTCTCTGATCACTGAAGAATCAGTGTATCGGAGTGCCAGAGCAAGGATGCTTTTCCCTCATGTTTCTGTTCAAGGGTCATTCAGAACCTCTCAGCACCAAGCCTAAAGGAGGTCTCTGCCTTAAGCTGACCTTTATGCCTATTCAATGTCTGAATTAATATCCTACAACAGATTATGTGCTTAACGCAACTAGCACACAGGCATGCAGTATCGTTTATTTGGTTGATGACCTGCATGGCCCGAAGAGAACCAATTCAGTAGGTAACTTTTGTCCCTACTTCTCTGAGTTGTATGAGGCACAGGAAAAAAAAAAAAAAAGTTGCTTGGTTCTTTTGTAATGTGTGGAACTTTTTTTTCTTTTTTGTTTTTTAGACAATTCTGTCATAATGGAATTAACTTAGGTCATGTTTCTTACTGATGCTACTGTTCTTAATTTAGGTTAAAATGGGGAACTCTGAAAGTCAGTACACCCTTCAAGGATCTAAAAATCATAGCAATACTATTACTGGTGCTAAGCAAAAGCCTTGCTCCCTGAAGATACGCAGCATTCATGCGAAAGATGACAAGTCACTGCACGGATGGGGGCACGGAAGCAGCGGAGCGGGTTACAAGTCCAGGTCCCTGGCCCGAAGCTGCCTTTCTCACTTTAAGAGCAATCAGCCTTATGCATCCCGACTGGGCGGACCCACATGCAAAGTCCCCAAAAGCAGTGCCTACGCCAAGCACAGGACGGACGCCTCAGGAAATGATTTCCAGAGCCGCAGCACGGCCTTCTCCGCGGGGAACGGCTTCCACTATGTCGGCCACGAGCGGCCGGACGCCCACGTGGCCTCGAGGGACTGCAATGGACACCTCCTCAACTGCTACGGGAGGGACGAGAGCGTGGCAGCTAGGCCGTGCGACGAGGACCGCAAGAGCCCCAGGGTGCTCATCAAGACGCTGGGGAGGCTGGACGGCTGTCTGCGGGTCGAGTTCCACAGCGGCGGCCAGCAGGACGGAGGGCCCCCGGGGGACGCGGGCGGCCCGGTGCGGCTGCTGCGCTACTCGCCCACCTTGGGCCCCGGGCCCGACTCGCCCCCGGACTCGCGCCCGCGCTCCAGCAAGGGCAGCTCCCTGAGCTCCGAGTCATCCTGGTATGACTCCCCCTGGGGCCCCACGAGCGAGGCCAGCGAGGCCGAGGGCTCCCTCCTGGTGCCCGGCACGCCCGCCCCCCGCCTCTGCGCCGACTTCCCGCCGCCCGGGGCCCCAAAGCCGTTCAACCAAAGCTCGTCCCTGTCCTCGCTCCGGGAGCTCTACCCCGACCCCAGCCCGGCGCCCTCGGGCCTGCGGCTGTCGGACGAGTTCGTGGGCGCGCACGCCAGCCTCAGCCACCGCGTGTCCTTCGCCTCGGACATGGACGTGCCCTCCCGGGTGGAGCGCAGGGACCCCGGCCCGTACTCGTCCTTCACCCTCCCCTGCCGCAAGTCCAAGGCCTTGACCGAGGACTCCTCCAAGAAGGACACGCTCAAAGCCCGCATGCGCCGCATCAGCGACTGGACGGGGAGCCTCTCCAGAAAGAAAAGGAAGCTCCAGGTGAGTAAACCTTAGGGTGGAAGGGAAGGTTCCCTCGAGCTGCCTGGTCTGTTAGAATGGGAGTGTTGCAGGAGCTGCCCCAGAGCGCTGGCCTGAGGCTAACAGAGTTCAGGAAAGCGAAGGGTTTAGTCTCAGACCAGGCGCCTCTTGTTTGCGGCAGTGGGGGGGGGGGGGTGGTGGTTTTTCTCTTTTGCTTCAGGTGTACACTTTTACTCTTAACCCACAGCTTCACGCTCTCTGATTCTGTGTGAGCTCACCTCCTGTGCTCTGGTGTGAACGCCGCAGGCCTCGTCCAAAGGCGTGGCCAGACTGTCCTTAGTAGAGCGTTCCAGAGAATTCCTCAATGAATTGGTCATCTGAGAATTTTGCTAGATGTCATTCTTGAAGCCTAAACAAAAAGGGGAGCTAGATCGTTATTTTGGGATGAGTCGCCTTCCTGAACTTGACATCACTTTGGGGAAATTAACATTTTTTTGGTACATCCAAAAAAAAAAATTATCTCACCACCTTCCAATGGGGATAGCAAACAGTTTTGAAAATATCTTGTACCCAAGAACATGTAATAGCAAAAATATAATGCCTGACAAAATAAGAATTGTGATGATGATAATACTTATACATAATAATGATGTATAAAGTTGTAATGGGGAAACAAAGTGGCTTAGTCACCGGGAGGGAGAGTAATAGGTTGCCTTTTTAGGTAACTAGTGGCAATTGCTAGGTTTTTAGTTGTTTTGCTTGTGACTTTTTTGTTTGTTTCTACTTTTAGTTATTTGTAGAAGGAAGAAAGCTTTTTTTTTTCCCTTAGCTTGCACAACATAAGGCACATTATTGAAGAGAATTTGAGTGGGCAGTTTGTCTCTAGTAAAACTGCATTTTATCCATCCTAGATAGATACGTAATTACAAAATTATATAGCACTTTAGGGGTGAGCAAGAAGATGACTTCCCTGAGTAGACTGTGTTAGATCTGTAAAACTTACCGTTAGTTATTTCCTTCTTATGCATGAGGTACACGACCAGCACCCCTCGCGTGTTGTGCTTCGTTGCCCCTGGCTACCCCTTTACCCAGAGATAAAGAACAGATGATCACCATCCTGCCACGGAACTCTTCATATCCCCGAATGCAGTAATTTGCTGACTCCTTACTCCTCACTTCTTTATACTCTACCATTTACTTTACCTTAGTTTAGCCCCTAATTGATCCTGGCATTGAGCTGGTTATTCCACATCTCTTGTTTGCATAGAGGATGTTTCTCACCTGTCCACGTTTGTGGCCTGGCTCACACACTGCTGTACCGAGTCTCATTCAGGTTCAGTTCGGCTAAAGGCAGACCAGTAGTCACTGTGTATTGACTGCGTTCTGTCCCGTTCAGGCCCTCACTGCCCCCATGGGAGGTGACCTTCAAGTCTGGATCATCCAGAGACTTCGCCCTGAATGGTTTGTAAGCTTGTGGAGTTAAGAACAGACTGGTTATATAATCAAAGAATCCGAACTTGAAGGCTGGAAAGGATTTCCCCTCATTTTAAAAATTAAGAAAGTAAGGCTTAAGGAATTTGAGGGTCCTCCCTGAATACACATGGCTAGTTGGTGGAGAAGCCAGGACCAAAGTCCTTTCTGCTAAACCTCATACGTGAGCTTTTTCCAATTAGACACGTGGCCAAGATATTGTTGATAGCCACTGGTAATTACTTTGGGCCTATTGAATGTTAAAGTAAACTGCTTTGGATTTTTAAACAATGTCCTGTGCAGGCAGTTTTTTAGTTTTGCTTATGTTCCCACAATTGATAATCTATAAAGGTGAGCAAGATGAATTTTTCTGGCAAGTATGCCAGTTTTTTTTGTCATTTTTTGTTTGTTTGTTTTGTTTTCCTTTCGTGATTTACAGCAAAGATCAGATTTAGATCCTTAAAAATGTAGTCAGTGCATGGAGCAAAATTTCCAACAGTGTATTTTTTTAAAAAAATTTTTAAAGGTTTTATTTATTTATTTGTCAGAGAGAGAGAGAGAAAGAGAGAGAGCACAAGCAGGGGGGAGTGGCACGTGGAGGGAGAGGCAGAAGTAGGCTCTCCGTTGAGCAGGGAGCCTGATTCAGGACTTGATCCCGGGACCCTGGGATCGTGACCTGAGCCGAAGGCAGACGTTTAACCGATTGAGGCACCCAGGCGTCCCGACAGTGTATTTTTTTTAAGAAGATTTTATTTGTCTTAGAGAGTACAAACAGGGGGAGCACCAGGCAGAGGGAGAAGCAGACTCCTCGCTGAGCAGGGAGCCTGACGTGGGGCTCGATCCCAGGACCCTGGGATCATGACTTGAGCCGAAGGCAGACACTTAACCAACTGAGCCACCCAGGCATCCCTCTGACAGTGTATTATAATATTGGCACCAAATGAATGCGTATTCTCTCACATGCACACAAACTTCTGTCTGCCGGCAGGGCCAAGGTCCAGAAACCCTTACCATGATGGATAGATTTACTTGTTATGACTTCTAAAAAGTGATAATAAAAGAGCAACCCTTTCTTCTTAGGGCTTTCAACCAGTTGGGTGAGTTAGACCCTAAAAGCAGACACATTAGTGAAAAAACATGCACAACTGAAAAAGAATATCAAACTAATCAGAGAGAGAGAATGTGCTAGAGAGGAGTATGTGTTTGATGCCAATAAACCCTTCCTATTAATGGAGCTGTACTGTGAATCCTTGATCCTCTCCTGGGTGAACTTTCAGGTATATCAGTCAGGGTGGGCTGGGTTATGCTGAGGTAACAGAAAGCTCTCAGATCTCCGAGGTTTAGCATGAGCAAAGTTTCTTTCTTTCCCATGCTGTCACTCTGGTCTGCATTGTTCCTCTCTGGGACTCCAGGGCCACAGAGCAGTTCCAGCTGGAACACCCCAAGCCATGACAGCAGGAGAAAGAAAATCGTGTGTAAAGCTTCCATGTTTCACTTCTGTTCACATTTATTGGCCAAAGCAAGTCACATGGTCATACCTAACTCGGAGGGAGGGGGAGGGAGAGGGAGAAGGAATGACCCTGCCCTGGGCCCAGGTGGAGGGCCAGGCATATTTGGTGGGCAGCAGTGACAGAGAACATTCAGGATGCAGAGACCCTGGCCTTTGGGCCCTCTTAATTTTAGACCTCGCGGCTCTTTGAGGGCTGCGTGGTCACAGAGAGCTGGTGGTCTCTACTGTGGGATGAAGGAAAAAGGTATGTGAAGAATGTCAAGGTGTGAATTTGATACATTTACCTAGAAAGTGAGGAATGATGACGATCAGGAATTTTCTTTTAGCTCCCAAGAGTGACTCAACTCTCTTGAGACCCTCTCTCCTCTTTGCTGTAGTGCCCTGGTCATGAAGTCAGATTATCCGTTGCTTAGGATTATCCAGTTGCATGCAGAGAAATGGAAATCAGACTGCTTTGTGTACACGTATAACACGGCTCCTTGGTTTCACACCCATAGCACAGTGATCAGGAAATCTAGCTGAGCTGATTTAGGGATGGATGTCCTTTCCCTCATTCCTGTTGGCCTGAAAATCAGTCACTGGCTATTAGGATTCTCCATAGAAAGCTTTAGAAATGTGTTAGAAACTGGGAAAGGTCATGTCTAAGACTCCGTTATAAATGCTAAAATGCAATATTTTCCCATTTCTTACGGAGGAAAATTTGTCATACTTTGCTGTGGTGGAACATTTAAAAGTCAGTGCTACAACTGCAACTGGAAGACTCTCTTATGAGAAACACTGTCAAGAATGTTTATAGGTCACATTTAAGTTTGGCACCTAAGCGTCTTTCCTCTGGCAGTTTGGCGTGTTTTGAAACACCCCATTGTAGCTTGTGCTGAGGCATCCCAGTGTTTGGGGGCTGTGAGTCCGAGTCATATTCATAGCTGAAATGATGTTAATGCTAGCTAAATGAGAAGTATTCCTTCACCTCTTAGGAGTTTTTGAAGAGCAACAAAGTGACAATTAAAAAAAAAATCTTACACTATTTTGAAAGTTTCTTCTCTAAGTGACTCACCACTGCTGGCTTATTTGCTCTGTTCTTGCATAAGCATCTGTGTATAAATAAATACGACTACGGGACATAGTGTAAACGCAAGTGGAAAATAATATTTTTGTTAGTAATAGCTGTGCTTGGGGCTATAGCCCCTGTTGTTTATAGCCCCTGGGTATTTGGAAGCACTCTCCAGTTGATTTTCCTACAAAAGATAGCAAATACTTGCTACTGGATTTCTGGATGGAATGTCTGGAAGGAAAACCCCTCCACACAGTGGAATATTCAAAATAAGGCCTTTGGTCGGTGGTCCTTGACTCAGTTTCCCCTCATTTTTATTTTAATGGGTAAGGCAATATAATGGAAAGCCTACTAGCAGCTGAGTGGATGTGTGTGCTTAGCACCGCTCTGCAGACTTACCTTAGTCTAAGCTCTAAATTTGGAATGTCCAGAGAGCAAAAAAATGTCTTTTGAGTCTTAAATTAGGCTCACCTTCTGCTGGAAAATGTAGTTACTGATGTTTACCAGTGAATGGCCTGTCTGAAAGTTATTCTCAAATAACTAGACCTCTCTAAATGAGGACACAGTCCACGTTTCCAGCTTTCTGCATGGCCACTGACTGTCAGTGCATTGTAGTTTCATAGGGCACAGCCATTATTATAAAATATTAATTTTATTTAGAGCTGCCCATGTCTGATTTTATGTTGTAGTACACGTTGAAGTTAAGAATCATGTCTTTGGTATCCCCAATACCTAGAATAAAATAGATGTTCAAATGAAAGGATGTGAGTGAATGAATATATTCTTTTTACAGAAGAAATTCCCAAATTAAGTAAAAAAGCCAGTATTTATGAAAAACAACAGTTACTAGCAAATACTTTTTGTAGACGAAGAATCCCAGGTGCATGGTTTTTACTCTGTGAAGAAGGAAAATAAGATGCTAGAGATCCTCAAGTCTTGATATGGGTGGAGGTAGGGAGAAGCTGGGGACTGACTATTTTGGGCAGAGGAAGAGAAGTTTGCGTAACAACACCTAACAACACCCTAGTTGCTATTCCCTACCCCCCTTGACCCTGTAACTAGAGATTTTCTACCTTAGCTTTAAAAGGATCCAGGAGGAAGACAGACTGCAAGAGCATGAATTCCTTCCAGGAAGACCCTGATTCACAGTTAGCAAAGCAATGTCAGCCTAGAAATCTTCACTGATGTGTTATAAATATGCTAGTTGATTTCTTAATTCTCAGCATAGGTTAGATTTAGGATAGTCAGGAGTATTTTGTTCATATCTTTAAGCATTGACTCCACTGGCTGTAGATTGGGCGGGGCAACGCTCTTTCTCCAGTTCTTTCTGGTTTGGTGACTTGATGATTGAAGATGCATTTTTGTTAAAAGAATCTTGCTTTTCGGCAGCAGCATTAGCAACCAATGGTATGATACATTTGCAGGGTTGGGGAAGGGATGCTTTGGATGTATGTAACCTCTGATGGGTGGTCATCTGCATTGCTCACAGGAACCGAGGTCCAAGGAAGGCAGTGACTACTTTGACAGCCGCTCAGATGGACTGAATGTGGACGCGCAGGGGCTCTTCCAGGTGTCTCCTTCACCTTGGTCTGGGGGCTCAGCTCAGATCCTGTCCCAGAGAAGCGAATCTGCTCATGCAATTGGCAGTGATCCCCTCCAACAGAACATTTATGAGAATTTCATGCGGGAGCTAGAAATGAGCAGGACCAACACAGAGAATGTAGAAACGTCCACAGAAACCGCGGACTCCAGCAGCGGGTCCCTCAGCTCTTTGGAGCAACTTGATCTGCTCTTCGAGAAGGAGCAAGGGGTGGTCCGGAAAGCTGGATGGCTGTTCTTCAAACCCCTTGTCACTTTGCAGAAGGAAAGGAAGCTCGAATTGGTGGCCCGGAGGAAGTGGAAACAGTACTGGGTAACACTGAAAGGTCAGTGCATTGTTGACTCAAGGGGGCCACTGGAATCATTTCTTCCAGCCGGCCCCTCTCCTAGGAGACGCCAGTCAGTCCAGGGTTAATTTGTGTCAATGTGTGAAGGGATTTGAGGGGCGCCTGGGTGGCTCAGTTGGTTAAGTGACTGCCTTCGGCTCAGGTCATGATCCCGGGGTCCTGGAATCGAGCCCCGCATCGGGCTCCCTGCTGAGCGGGGAATCTGCTTCTCCCTCTCCCTCTGCCTGCCGCTCACCCTGCTTGTGCTCCCTCTCTGTCAAATAAATAAGTAAATAAATCTTTAAAAAAGTGAAGGGATTTGGTACAAAATCTCCCAGCATGCTTTGCTACAGATACTTTCTCAAACCTGGGTAATATGGCTTATGTAATATTCATATATAGTATTCGTTCTAATACTTAGTGATTGAATTTAATAGTTACAGCTTATCATTTTATAGGTAGTTCTGTACCATTCTTTAATACTTTTTCTGCATCTGGAGGTAAAAATATTCCAAATAAGTAACCAAATGTAGATCCTGAGTATCCTATTCTTCACAAGTATCCTTCTCAGCTTGTACGACAAAGAACATCAGGATTATCTGATTTGTGTCCTCTGACCTTTGTAAACTAAGAAAGTCTAATTGTTATCATCACAAACAAATGCTTTTTTTTTTTTAATGTAAAGGAAATAGGAGTAAGGATTTGTTTTGTTAAGATGATGAAAGTTTCTTCTAGGCATTGCCATTTAAAAATTACAATTGCCTTGCTCATTGCGGATGTATAGATTGGAAGGGATCTAAATGTCCTGAGGAGGAGCGAGGCTCTAGGTCAGCACAGTGTGGATTTATACAGATGTAAAGATGGTTTATACAGATGCAAGCAGGAAGAGCAGCCTCACGGCCTCTGGCACGTCTGCACAATCATCTTGTGACTCAGTCAGAGGAATGGAGTGGTGTTCAAAGCCGAGCCTCATTATTGGGAGACAGCCTTCCCTATCCTGGGGGAAAGCAGAAATGGGAATCCTATCTGCAGACAGTATGTGTGAAAGGCCTGGAGCCCTCCCACAGGGCTCCTTTCTTGCTTTCTTTCCACCCCCCCCCCAGTAGAAATGGTGAGATGCCCCCACCCCAGCCTTGTGGAGCTGGAGCCATTTCATAATAACCCAGAAGCCTGTCTGGGAAAGATGCAGTTTGGAAGGCATTTTGTCTTTAAGGGACACCTTTACCTAGCAAAATGGAGGGTTTATAAAACCCAAGACCCAGTCCTCTTTTCCAGCTTGTGATAACATTGTGGCGAGGAAGGCCCAAGAGCTTGCCTCTCGTTTGGGCATCCTGGGGAGGCAGGTTCTTACACCGAATGACGGGCGAGATGTGGAGAGTTGGAATAAGGGGTTGAATCTAGCAAGATACAATTTGAAGGGATAAGTTATGCTCTCAGGTTTAATAATCAAATGACCATCCAAGTACAGGACAGGGAGATGTGGCTGCTGAGCATTACAAGAAGATCTGGGGGGTTGAGCTGTAGGCCATTCCTTAAATTTGTTTCCAATGTGATGAAGTCAAGATAAAAGTAAATGGGATTTAAAAGAGTGGATGTGATCTTCGGCCACCTCATTCCAGCTGTCCTGGGTTCTACGGCCCCAGCGGTCTCTCCTCCCTCTGCCTGGGGTGGAGCTGGCCATTTCTGTGCTTGGGGGCCCCATAGTGCAGGAGCCCTGTTAGTTAGCAAGGTGGGGATTCTTGAACAGGTTCGACCTGAAGTATCTCTGACTGGGAGGGCGGGGGGAGTGAAAATGTCTTCTCAGGAGCGCGAGCATCTGGGATTGATTATGAATCACAGTCTGAAGCTGCCTCCTTCTGGCATGTTGTTTGAAAGAGATGCGCTCGACTCCATATGTGATGTGTATCTGGTTTATTTTTTTATTGTATTTATTTTTTTAATGTAAAATTTGTTTGTTAAAATGGATGCTTTGGGAAGTCGTTCCCTGCCTGTTTTAATGCTCTGAATCTCCCCCCCCCCGCCCCCCGCCCCACTGCGTCCTGGTGGTGGAGGCTGGTGATGGTTTGTGTTTGTGTGTCTATGTTGGGGCCTAAGAATTGGGGCCATAGGTGACAGCAGGAGGGTTTAGAGCTATGCTATATGGTGTGCATTTAGGAACATTTAGCTTGGAGAAGACAAGGAGTGAGGTGGCAGTGAACAACAGTCTTGTGGAAGGGGCGCTGAATTCTGGTTCCCCAGGGGTTAGGACGGCACCAATAGTTGGGAGGCAAGTTGGTTCTGAATTAAAAGTACAGCAGTGACCAGAGCCATGAGCAAGTGAAAGGATGCTGTCTTCCTGATTTCTCTGCCCCTGAAGACATCTGTGCAGAGCCAGATGGTGGGAGGCTTCCTGGGGGAGGAGATTCAGGCAGGTTTCCCTTAGAGTTGGAAGAGCCCACCTCCAGGCTCGGGTTTTCCGTCCTGGAGGCTACCGCGGGGACTCCTGCTGCTGACTCCCGAGGCAGGGATGGTCCCGAGTGGTCTGGCAGTTCCAGGGTCTGCTCTTGCCTGTGCCCTGCTGACTTGGCGCTTGCTCATATAATGGAGACCTACGGAGAAAGGGTGCTTTGTAAGTGTAAATGTTATCAAGCACACATTGCTTCCTTTCCTTTGCAGCCAAGCAAAGTCATGCGATAAAGATGTTTTTTTCCAGCATAACCTTTTCCATGTGGCTTTCTATACCTCTTTCCTCTGGGAATTCACTAGGTTGAATTCAACTTTCTTGGCTTAGAATCCAAGTTGCAATGTTTGGACTTAACTATTTGGTTTAATCTTAGATACACACACACACACACACACACGTGTATATGTATGTATATACACAAGCAGGTACGTTTAAGCAGAATTTTAAATTCTTGAAGTATTTATCTATGGCGTCTGGAGAGAGCAGCTACAAGCCCGCTGTCTGGTTGTACACCTGTGTTGAATGTATAGTGTGCTAAGGGCATAAATGTTTTTTAGGGCTTGGAGGATGTCATACATTTTTAACACAGGTAACTCTGCTTTCCATATGTCTTTTCCGGTGAGTCAGGAGAGGGATTCCTGCAGTAGTTTGGGGATGCTGGTGGTTCTGCCCTGCGGTAGGGCAGCTGCGGATGGTGTGATGAGTGTGGCTTGGGAGGGTATCAAGGAAAAGGTGGGTTTGAGGGAAGACAAGACCAGTTCTCTTTTTCCCCTGGTGATATTTCTACTGGTACTTCATCTATTTTCATACTCCTACTGCTGTTCCAGTCTGTTTTCTCTTTCTGCTACCGTGGCGAGAAGAACTTCCACCAGCAGCCCTCCAGGCCAACACGGGGTCCTGGTGGGGACCGGGCAGGGCTGGTGGCCGCAGCCCTGGGTTGGGGGGTGTGGGGGCAGGAGACGCCACGGACAGGGGTGCTCCCCTCTCCATCAGCCTTATCGCCCCAGCATTGGAGACACAGATGAGGTTAACTTTGAGGTCATAGATTTACAACTGATTTCCTGTTCTTTAAATTCGATAGCAACAAAATCGTGCATACGGTTTTACATCCTGGCCTGGGTCTAACACGACATGTCCTGTTTTGGTTTCATGCTGCCACGGTAGATGGGGCGTTCGAGTTGGCGGCATGTTGGCATCTGCCCAAGGTTGTGTTCATTTCCTCTAGATGTCATGACTCAAACCACAGCCGCTGGGCGTACAATGGTAGGGAAGCTGGGAAGTGAATGTTCACCCATCGGAAAGAATTCGGACTGGGCAGAACTGGCATGGGTCTGTCACCTTGACCCTGGCCCTTGGGTCCCCAGGTAATGGCAGGTTTCGTACTCAGCAGCAGTCAGACAGGCCTTTCCTGATGGAAGGATTTGGGGACATTGTTTCTAAGTGCATCAGTGCCTGCAAAAAGAGACTGGCTCAGCTCCGCAGGAGCAGACCCGGCCGGAGACCTCCTGCTGCTTTCCCTTCTTCTGGAAGCCTCTCTTAGCCTTAGTGTGGATGCCTTTTGTTTGCAGGAAGAAGGGTTGCTAGTGCTTCTTGAGATCATTAAGTACCGCCGAGGGTTCTGGAAAGTGCTGTCCCGGCGATGCTGTTTCTGAGGGCAGAGCTACCTGCCAGCATCTTGTTCTCCTGGCTTCTGTGCTGCGCTGGATTCCAGGATCTGAACTTATCTGTCCGGATTAAGATGGGTTTTTGAAGGAGGAAGTGAGACTGGCTAGCCTGAAATAGTTTTTTTTTTTAAAACATTAGACTTTTATGAGTGAAGACTCCTAACTCAGAGGGGAAAACAGTCGTGCAGTGGACCTCATTCATTCGCAGTGCTGCTGAGAGCAGCTGATGCTTCTTTACCATCAATGTAAGAGGCTGTGCAGAGCAGGGGGATGGGGACCTTATCGGCCATATTTGGATGCTGGGGCTCAGCACATGAGAAGTGCTCAGAAGTGGTGATTGGATGAAGGTTTTTCAACAGGAGAACATACTTGTGAGCATTTTAGAATTTGCTTAAGAACTGCATCTAATAATTAGAGGGCACTCCTATCTAATTATCAAAGTAGATCCTTCATAACTTCTATCTACAATAATTCATTAGCTTATTGGGGGAAAGCTATGTATTTGCAAGCATTTTTAGCATCTTATTTATTTATTTATTTATTTATTTATTTA